AATGCTGTAATTGAATGTTGGCCCTATGTTAGACATGAGGCTAAGACCTTTGAGGAGGGAGAGGGAGAGGAAGAAACTATCTTCAGCTGTGGAAATACAGAAAGGTATTTTTTTAAAGTTGCTCTGTGTGTGTGCGCGTGTGTGTGTGTGCGCGTGAGCGCACATGTGCATGTGCCTGCCGCATGCTAATACTGGGGCTTGAACTTAAGGCCTGAGCTATCCCTTAGCTTTTTCCCACAAGGCTGGTACTCTTCCACTTGATTCCACAACTCCACTTCTGGGTTTTTGCTGGTTTACTGGATATAAAAATTTCATGGTCTTTCCTGCCAGGTGTGACTTTAAATGCAATCCTCAGATCTTGGCATCCTGCGTAGCTAAGGACTACAGGTGTGAACTGCCAGTATCCAGCAATGAAGCAGTTTATTATTTAATTTTTTTGTTACTATAAAGGTGATGTAGAAAGGGATTATAGTTACATAAGTAAAGTGTACATTTCTTTTTGGACAGTGTTGCTCCTTCCTTTGCTCTCTCCCAGCTGATGAAATAGCTTTAGAGCTGAGCCTAAAAGAAAAAAGAAAAACTTGACAGGAAGAGATGACTAAAATGTACCATGCCTAAAAATAACTGCAAAATTGTGGTAATAAACTTGTCATAGGGGCTGTGGGTGTAGCTCAGTGGTGAGTGCTTGTCTAGCATGCACAAGGCCTTGGGTTTAATACCAGCAACACACACATTCACACACATGTGCATGTGTGTGCGTGCGTGTGCACACACACACACACTATACTAGGCATGTTTGGAAAAAGCAGGTAGACCTATTTGGAGTGTAGTAAAAATTTAAATGGGAAAGTAGTAAGAAAACCCTTCTGAATAAAGTTAATTAAACCCAGATTACTAAGGATTCTGACCATCTATCTCCAAACTGGTATTCTGGATTTTTTTTACTTAGACTTGCTACACCCTAATCACAATGAAGTGTTAAAAATGCAGACTCCATGCCACGCACCGGTGGCTCATGCCTGTAATCCTAGATACTCAGGAGGCTGAGATCTGAGGATCGTAGTTCAAAGCCAGCCCGGGCAGGAAAGTCCATGAGACTCTTACCACGAGAAAACAGGAAGTGGTGCTGTGGTTCAAGTGGTAAAGCCCTCACCTGGAGCTGAAGAGCTCAGGGACAGCACCCAGGCCAGAGTTCAAGCCCCATTACTGACCAAAAAAAAGCAGATTCCCAGGCCCCACTCTAGATCAGAACTGGGGGTGCAGTACACTGAATCTACTACGTTTGGATAATTTCCCAAGATGATTCCAATAGCTGCTAACGTTTGAGAACATTTGCTGCCATGATGGTGGCAGGCATGGGGTGGACTTTCTAGACTGGGGATGAGGTTGGGGTGGTGGGAGGGAGGGGACTTGAGGGTCTGGAACACAGAGTGACTGGCCGTGATGGGTGGGGAGAGGCAGGAGCAAGCAGAGGCCACCAAGAGGACTGAGCTGCTGCACTGGGAAGACTGGAGGGCATCGTCAGAAGTACGCACAAGGAGCCGGGCACTGGTAGCTCACACCTGTAATCCTAGCTACTCGGGAGGTTGAGATCTGAGGATTATGGTTTGAAACCAGCCCAGGAAGGAAAGTTGGTGAGACTCTTATCTCCAGTTAATCAGCAAAATGCTGGTAGTGAGGTGTGGCTCAGGAATCGAGTGCCAGCCTTGAGTGAGAAAGCCAAGGGATAGTGTGAATCCCTAAGTTCAAGCTGTAGTACTGGCATGAGGAAGCAGAGAAAGATGAAGAAGAGGAGGAAGGAGAGGAGGAAGAAAGGGAGGAAGAGATGGACAAAAAAGGGAAGGAGGAGGAAAAGGAGGAAGAGGAAGGAGAGGAACAAGAGAAAGAAGAAGAGAGGAAGAAGAGGAAGGAGACGGAAGAAATAATGATAATAACATGGGGTCACACTGAACCTCTGCCAGTCTGTGTTTGACTCCCCCTCCCACTCTAACATAAAATGCTTCTGGAGTTTTCCAACCACTCTGCGCCATACTCTCAGGCTGGGCTCTTTTGCTGGACCCCTTCCTCCCGCTGAGGCTGCAGCCTTGGCCTTCTGAATCTTGTGCGCTGACCTGCTGGTCCAGCCGCAGCGTGAGTGAGCTATAACTGACCTGCCAGCTATGGCCAGAGCCCGCGCTGTCGCTCTGCCCATCTGGGCATTACCGCTTTTTCTGCTGCTTCTCCAAGCAGAGCCAGTCTGTGCCCATAACTGCTCAGGGGTCTCATGATGGACGCTGATGTCCAGCCTCGCTCTGTCAGGTGACTCCAAGATGCCTGACACCTGACACCAACCCAGAGCCCACAGGAGGCACTGTGGCTAGACATATGAGAAGCACTGCTCTGTCTGGAGGTCCTTCTGCCAGAGGGCTCTTATCATTCAGGCAAAATGCCCCTTCCAGTCTTCCTGACCCCCTGAGGGTCCGGTGGAGGCTCTTGTTAGAATCTTCTCTCCGCTATGAAAGGGGACAGGCTTGCTCAAGGCATTAAGTTCATTCTGTCTGCCTCTCTTCTTTACTTCAGGGCAAAACATGGTGGCTCATCTCTGTCATCCCAACCACATGAGAGGCAGAGATCAGAAGATTCAAGGTTCCAAGCCAAGCTAGGAAAATGTTTCAAGGTTCCAAGCCAAGCTAGGAAAATGTTAGCAAGATGCCATCTCAACAAACAAGCTGGGTGTGGTGGCCCATGCCTGTCACCCAGTTACACAGGAGGCCAAGCCTGAGGTCACTTGAAGCAAAAGGCTCAAGGCCCTAACCCACCCACCCACTCCCAAAAGGAGCAAAAATGGCATGACAGCTTGGCTCAGTGGTAGAGCACCTGCCCACCAGCAAATACAAGGCCCAGAGTGGGGGGAAATGTCCTGAGTCTGTGGTAGAGCTGGTTCCTAGCAGGTGCTCTGGAGATCCCCACTCCCTAGTGGGAGTTGAAGGGCAGATCCTGTGGACCAAAGAAGAGACTGAGGTTTTATTGTATTAGGGAGGTAATTCATTCACCAGATAACAAATTCCAAAGATGCAGAAGTATTTATCCAGTGAAGTCTCCCTGGCGGTGGCCTGCCCCAGCCATCCAAGCGTACCTGTGTGTGTATTCAAGTAAAAGCTACCTGGCCCTACCCTGTCAGTGAAAACAGCATCGTATACATACCTGCTGCACCTGGCCTTCTTCTCACAGCTGCATAGTATGCTCGGTGCAGACCTATCGCAGGCAGATGTGACCGCCCCACCTCACCTCGGGCTTGGCCTATGTCCAGTGTGTTGGAATTAAGGCAACACATGATTGACAGTTCCAGGGCCAGATTGCTGGGGCAGAGAATAAGCATACACACACACACACACACACACACACACACACACACACACACACATACCCCTAAATGAAGTGTGCATCATTTTACATAACACATGATCCTCCTGCCTTAGCCTTCCAGGTGCTGAGATTACAGGTGTACACGGCTGTGCTCGGCACTTTATAATGAGCACCACCGGCTGCATCAGGCCTGCCCTGTTGCCACGCAATGTCCCCTGAGCTGTCGAGGCAGAAACAGATCCACTTTCTATCACTATAGTTTGTGTTTGTTTGTTTTTTGTCGGTCATGGGGCTTGAACTCTGGGCCTGGGTGCTGTCCCTCAGCTCTTCAGCTCAAGGCTAGTGTCCTACCACTTGAGCCACAGCGCCACTTCCAGCTTTTTTCTGCTTATGTGGTGCTGAGGAATCGAACCCAGGGCCTCATGCATGTGAGGCAAGCACTCTAACACTGAGCACCTTCCCAGACATATAGTTTTTTCTTTCAGAGAATATTGTAGAAACGTATAAAACATTCTCTTGGAGCTTGGCTTTTTCCATTTAGCCTAATTTCTTGGAGATTTCTTCCAGTCTGTTGCATGCAACAGTAGTCCACTGCTCTTCATGGCTGAGAAGTCTTCCAGGGTCTGAGCATGCCCCAGCCTGGCTGCTTGTTTACCCACTCAATGACACGGGGGTGGCCTCCAGATTAGGGCTAATTATTAATGCACTTCTGTAAACGTGTGTATATTACACCGCCTATAAACATGGACGTGCCAAGTTCTCCTCAACATTGCCTAATGTTTATACCTTATTATGAGTCCATATAGATGATGTCAAATATTTGAAAGACACATGAAAAACTCCTATTATATTCTTCTTTCTGTAAATTGTCTGTTTCCTTTGTCCATTCTGGAGGTCAGAATAATTTTGATTTCAGGAAAAAAAAAGTGGGTTTGGGGAGCTGGTAGGTCATCCAGATGGAAATGTTTAGCATTTCATTTAAAAATGCAAGACTGAGGCTGGGGCAGAGCGGCTCAGGGGCCCTAAGTTCAAACCTCGGCTCCACCAAGAGAAAAGTGATGCAGTATAAGAAGCAGGGATAGCTTACTAATGTTTTAGGAGCTAGCCATACACACACTCACACACACACACACACACACACACACACACACACACACGTGCGCACATGCACACACGTTTAAGGAATCATGTCCAAGTATACACAGCATTTAATTGTAGTTCATGGATCTGCAGATCTCTTTTTCTTCTTACGTTTTTCAGTTTTCCAGATTGTCTACAATGCATATGAATATGTCTTGGTGTCTTTCAGAGAGGAGGGGAGAGGCAGGGTGGGGAAGGAGAGGAGAAGGAAGGAGAAAAAAGATACTAAAGAAAAACAAGATTATAGGCCCTCAGAAAGAAATGGAGAATATATTCTAAAACATCGAGGGAAAGAAACTGGAAGAAAATCTATGCCGCAAATGACACATTTGGGTGTGCGTTAACTTGTCTTCTAACTTTTGTAGCATTCTCTTTTCATTGAACATATGCTGTTCAATAAAACACTACTGAAGTTGTATTTCAGTTATCCGATCAAGGGTGTTTGACTCTGCATGTCGGACAGCGAATACAAGGTTGCGTTCACCAGCTCTCTCCATTCTGTTCTCTCCCGGCAGGATGTTTTGGGCGGGGTCTTGATCACCGCTCTGCTCATCGTTCTCACCTACCCTGCCTGGACCCTCATCGACCGCCTGGACTCGGCCAGCCCCCTTTTCCCTGTGTGCGCCATCATCGTGCCCTTCTTCCTGTGCTACAATTACCCAAAGATGGATTACTACACCCCTACCAGGGCGGACACCACCACCATAGTAGCTGCCGGGGCTGGAGTGACTGTGGGCTTCTGGATCAACCATTTCTTCCAGCTCATGTCTCAGCCCGCCAAACCTCTCCCTGTCATTCAGAACATCCCACCGCTGACCACTGAGATGATCATTTTGGGTCTGACCAAGTTTACAGTGGGGATCGTACTGATCCTCTTGGTTCGTCAATTTGTACAAAATCTCTCACTGCAGGTGTTATACTCGTGGTTCAGGGTGGTCACCAGGAACAAGGAGGCCAGGCGGAGACTGGAGATTGAAGTACCTTACAAGTTTGTCACCTACACCTCTGTTGGCATCTGTGCCACAACCTTTGTGCCAATGCTTCACAGGGTTATGGGATTACCCTGAACCTCCATCCTGCTGGTCCTGAGAGCCAATAGTATACTAGGAAGTTGCGGGGCAGATAATCTTGACAACTCATATTAAAATCTTAAGTCATACCCTTGCTTTGCTGATACAGCTACTGCTGTGAGTCTAACAATGATTGGTCTGTAAGAATTACAGTACAGTGGATCTGGGATGAAACCTTGAGAAAGTTCTTTGAGAACATGCTTGTCTTCTCTGTTACATGGACTTAGAGGATCTCGTTCTGGGTGGCAGGAACTGTGGCTTGGCTTAAGGAAGATCGCAGCCTTGCTGGGCTCTGGGAGTCAACAGACCTGGGGTAATGTGAAGGCAGAGCATTGTTTCAATTCATGCTAGAACAAAGTCTCATTTCCAGTATGGGAGAAAGGACAGTGCTTCATGTAAAACTTCCTTCCTTCTGCAGATGGACTTCCTGGGCCCATGTGGGAGTGAGACCACCTGGTCTCATACAGGAGGTGAGGCAGTGGGACAGGGCCTGTTGTAGGGAAGAGCCATGGTGTCCTTCAGGGCCCACAGTTACAGGAGCTGGGAGGCCATGCTTGAGCCTTCTGCAGGTCCCACGGAACGATGGGTGAAGGCCATCTCACAGGTAGATACCCAGGTGGGAGGGGCCGATGCTCCTGCCCCTCCTCTCTCAATCTTCACAGCCTTCCACCATTTGGGCTTTTGCACAAACCTAGAAGGCCCTGGCTCCTGTCCACAAGCAGAAGAACTTTATCCTTTGGGGAACCTGACCAAGCGGGGCCTAGGCCTCCCTAACATTGCCTGATCCTGACAAAAACTCCTGGCACCACGCTTTCTTTTCTCCGTTACTTTCTGGAATTCTATTACTCATCTACTAGTTAGCACCTGGGGCTTCCTTTCAGTCTTCCACCTCTGATCTCGGGGCAAATTTTACCTCTCTTGGGAAAACAAACCAAGCAAAAATAAAATAAGTAATAAATATACAAACAAACAATACCCATTAAACCTAGGACTGGGCTGGGCACTGATGGCTCACACCTATACTCTTTGCCACTCAAGAGGCTGAGATGTGAGGATCGCCATTCAAAGCCAGCCCCAGGAGGAAAGTCTGTGAGGCTTACCTCTAATTAACCACACACACACACACACACACACACACAGAGCCAGAAATGGAGCTGTGGCGCAAGTGGTTAAAGTACTAAGCCTTGAGCAAAAAGAAGATCATGGAGAGATCCTAGGCCCTGTGTTCAAGCCCCAGGACCAGCATAAAACCAAACCACTCCAAGACCAAACCAATCCAAAACCAAACCCTAGGACCAACCTGGTTAGACTTGGAAAGGAGATCATTATGTGAACATCACAGTTCCCTGCCAGGGATCCTCTTCAGCTCTTACAGATAAGGAATGGGTTCCAATAACTTGGTTAAAGGCTAGGATAAAGACAGGGTTCGCCAAGTAAGGTTTGAAGAACGGCCCCTAAAGCACCAAGGTCAGCGTTCTACATCACCAGCCCTTCACCTGCGCCTGCTGGACACTGCAGGGGCTCAGGCCTGTGTACTCAGCAGGAAGGCTGCCACTACCCTCACGAGGCCTCAAGGCCTGGCGGTTGGGGTTTTCTTTGGTATTTGGCTCCGTACTGCAGTTTCTGAAGAATAATTCTTAGCAAAACATTCCATTCTTTTACTTAAAGTTATTTTCCCATTTATCAGCGTTCGAAGGCAGGGACTGAAATGGCCCAGTGTTGACTGACCAGTCTTTGCAGTCCCATGAGTGGGGTGCAAGGAACCCCATGTTACTGGTCTTCCCAGCCCTTTGGGGCTGTGGCTGTTCGTGGAAAAGGCTTCATCTGCCTCTGTCCCCCAAACTATGGTGACAAAACTGGATAATATTTACGCCAAATCATTTCAGTCAAATTGTCTGAAGCCAAGCCACAAAACATTGAGCTTTCCTACTTGTATCTTTGGAGAAGAGGGCCTTGGAAAACATTTTTACAGCTGGCCCTTCTAAAGTCCAACAGTAGGAAAGGCCTCAGCAGTACGGATACACTTAAGGCTCTGTTTATATAATTTGGAGTGAGGATGGATATATTAGCCACACAACTTAAAGAATCACCCAAGGACTTGTCCTGATTGGTCTACCAGTCTCTGAGAAGAACAACTAGACTCTAAATAAGTGTTCATTCATAAGTCCAACCTTGACTTAGCATTCTCCTGTTTGGTGGCACAGAATCGGATAGAAACTGATTAAAGAAAGTTATTAACTCTATTTAAACGCTACCTTTCCCAGACACTTCAGAGCTTGTATTAAGTCTCTTTAAGACATCTAGATTCTCTCTCTGGAGAAAGGCTGCCCCCTGCTGGCTTGTCTATAGTTAGCCCAGACCCCTCTTCTGGAGTGGAAGATTGTGAATTTACAAGTTTGGCTCCCCACAATGTGGCCATAGAAAGCTTTACAACCTGGCTCACCTGGATGCCAGAGCTCTCAGGATTACTAGTTCTCTTCCTACCTTGTCTCCATTCTGCCCTCAACCTGCTACTACTCAGGATTTTCCCCCTGGAACCTTCATTCTGCCCAGCTATCATTTTGTGCTAGACTTTCTCAAGCCTGCACCACAACAGAAAACAGGAAGAAAGAACACAGGTGGGAGCCTGAACTGAAGACCCTTAGATGCTAATGGCTTAAATCGCTGGGTGCCAGGCCCAGTGGGGCCACTGTAAGGATCTAGACGTGCTCAGTAGACAACCCACGCTTCCCACGCATCATCACAGCACGCAGTGCCAGGCCGCACATGCCAGCATTCTTTGCTGGAAGCAGGAAGCTGTCTTGAAATGTATTCTTTCTAAAGGAAAATCTTTTTTGTTGGACTGTAAGTTCTAATTAAATGCCTTAAAATCCATTATCCTGGACTTTTTTTTTTCTCATAACCTAGGTCTTTTTCTCTGGACGCACTGGACTAGAGTCAAAAAAGGGGGCGGGAAGGATAGGAACAAAAACAAATCCAATGTTAGGGGCCTGGTGTTGGTATGGTCGGGAGTCTGAGACCTGAGGATCACAGGTGGCAGCCAGCCTAGGCAGTCAAGTCCATGAGCATCTTATCTCCAATGAACCCCCAAAAAGCCAGAAGTAGAATTGTGGCTCAAACAAAAAAGCTAAGGGAGAGGTGCCCACGCTCTGAGATCAAGCCCCAGTACTAGCACCATAAATAAATGACTAAGTTCAGTGGCGCGCTACGTCATCCAGTTGCTCCCATGATTTGGTGAGCGTCACAGAGACCACAGGTGTTCGCTGCAACTCCTTGACACTGAAGAGCCTCCTCTCACTGTGTGTGGAGTCTGCACAGGTGATGCTGCCATATGCTGAAGCCTAACGCTACCAGTGCTGCGAGTGCAGGCAACTAACAGCATTTCACCGATGAGTTCACTGTCTTCTAAAGAGAACAAACAGTCCCCCAATTCAACTTCATTCACATCACTACCCTTAGGCACCCCTGTTTTCCCTTTGAAATAACACAGGAAGTGGATACTGTGGTTTGCAAGGGCAAGCCAAGATTCTCTTTCCACGGTGAGCAGCGTGTGTGTTTCATACGTGTATGCTGTGCGCCACGGGGGCGGAAGGCTCCCCCTTCCTTGTTCTGGGCAGGTTCTCCAGAGCCGTACTGTCTCCCAGTGCAGAAAAGAGGGACAGATAACGACCTGGGGTGACAGGGGTGTGGGGAAAGAGAGCTACACCATGGGATCTGGGAGGAGAAGGAGATTGAGCTTGAGATGATCACAGCAACTCGCAGAAGCTTTGTGGAGACAGGCTTCCAGGACAGACCGGGTTTGCCAGGGATGGGTTGGGGACTATGCTGCTCCATGCTAAGGAATAGCTAGCTAGTCAAAAGGATTTCCTCAAATCCCTAGCAGGTAACAAGGGGAAACCAAAACCTTTGTCATTGGCAACTGTGTCCAAGGAAGAGACATCCAGAGGTCTCTTCATCAACCTCATCGGAATATCTAACTGTCTGCCTTGGGCACACTCCTTATCTGCAATATCCCAACAGCTCTCATGCTTTATTTCAAAGTTCTGTCTGGGCAAGATGGTCAGCAGCAGGGACTTGTTCTGGTTCTTCATGTTCACTGCATTTCCTGACCTTCTCTTTGATTAACTGCTTAAAGAAGTCCTGAGGAACTTCATTAAATATTTTTACCTAAACTAGGCACCAGTAGCTCACTCCTACAATCCTAGCTACTCTGGGAGGTGGGGATTGTGAGGACTACAGTTCAAGGCCAACCTTGGAAAGCAGGAAAAAGTTCGTAAGACCCAATCTCAACCAAATATCTAGCTGCACCCCAGCTATGATGGCTCACTGTCCAGAGCAACTTGAGCAAAAAGTTGAGACAGGATCTCAAAAGTAAGGTATGGAAGCTGGCTCACTCTCGTAATCCTAGCTACCCAGGAGGCTGAGGTCCTGAGAATGGTGGTTCAAAGCCAGGGCAGAAAAGTCTGTGAAATTCCATCTCCAAAATAACTAGTAAAATGCCAGGCTAGAGGCATGGAAAAAGTACTAAAGTGCCAGCAGAGCAAGTAAACTGGGCAAGTTTGAGTTCAAATCCCAGTACTACCCAAAATTTAAAAGGTGTGGGATAGGGGCTGGGAAGGTGGCTCAGAGGTAAAGCGCTTGCCTTGCATGCATGAGGCCCTGGGTTCGATTCCTCAGCACCACATAAGCAGGGGAAAAAAAGCCGGAAGTGGCACTGTGGCCCAAGTGGTCGAGTGCTAGCCTTGAGCTGAAGAGCTGAGGGACAGCGCCCAGGCCCAGAGTTCAGGCCCCACGACTGGACCCCCCCCAAAAAAACAAAAAACAAAAGGTGTGGGATAAAAGGTGTTAGATATGTGTCTCAAGCAGTAGCAAGGGCAAAGCCCTGAGTTCACACCCAACACTACTCTCTCTCTCTCTCTCTCTCTCTTATACTCCAGTCCTGGTTCTCTGAGGACTCCAAAGTGTCTGATCCTTTCTCTGTCTAATGACTCTAAGAGTAGTGCTTTGTTTCTTCACCCAGAACCAAGCAGAAGAGCAGTATATATTTACCTTATTTTAAACAGTGTCTGCCTCAAAACTACTGTGTTAAACTTTAAGAGTACTGAAGGGATGCCGTTTAAAATTCATTGGCTGAGTGCCAGTGGCTCACAACTGAAATCCTAGCTACTCAGGAGGCTGAAATCCAAGGGTTGTCATTTGAAGCTAGCCCAAGCAGGAAAGTCCATGAGATATTTATCTCCAATTAACCACCAAAAAGTTGAAAGTGGAGCTGTGGTTCAAGTGGTAGAGCATTTGATCCTTGGGCAAACAAGGTCAGAGACAGTGCCCACGCCTGAGTTCAAGCCCCAGAACGGCACCAACCCACCCCCACCCCGCCAACTCATATGGTGATTCTTCATTTTTAGAAACATAAGGCTTTAATAAATTACTCTGGGCACATCCGTTGTTTTCTTAAAGTGGGGCACACCTGTAATACAGACTCAAATATTTACAGATGTACACACTAAGAATGAGAGTTGAATGTGGGCCATGAATAGAATGCTACATTCTTAAAACCATGGCCACATGAGACAAGGGAGCTATATGAAGCCAGAAATTCTTCTTCCTTTTCCACGCCTGTCTATATGGCATGCAAAAACAAACAAGAAAAGCAGGAATGGAGCTGGGGAGTTCCGGCTGGAACCCGCCTTTAATGCACACGCTCAACACATCTGCTAACCTTGCTCTTTTTCTCCCTTGCTTTGACATCAGGAAGCACGGGCAAGGAGTCCTTCCACTGTAGGTGCTTAGTCAGTAGCTCCTAATCTACACAACACCAGCTCCATTCTCTGAGATTGGGACATGGGGGAGATCGGTCCCATGATGTCTCAATGCTCCTCCTGCCTGCAAGGACAGCGCGATGCACCCGCAAGGGTCTGGGGAGGAGTGAGGCCTC